AAAATCCCCATAGGAAACATCGTTGAGTGAAACCCGGTTCCCCAATTGAAATGCATTGAAGCCGACTCAATGCATTTCAATGGCTTTGCGAAGTCCTTTTTTGCTCCTGTAAAAGTGTCTTACAATGTTTGGAACCTGTTTTAAAAGCTTGCAATGGTTAGCCCACCTCCTGAAACCTATGCAAACTTATTTTGGTGTTGTTCTGACACTTTGTTAATTTGTCGTGATTTTTTGTTTTTCCCCTCATTGAAATGCATGGAGTTCAATGAGGGAAAAACAAAAAAACACCACAAATTAACGAAGTGTCAGAACAACACCAAAATAAGTTTGCATAGGGTTCAGGAGGTGAGCTAACCATTGCAAGCATTTAAAACAGGCTTCAAACAGTTTAAGGCACTTTTAAATGAGTGAAAAGAGACATCGGAAAGAGCTTTAAAAGGGAAACGGAGATCAAAGAGCTCTTTCCGATGCCCCTTTTCGCTCCTGTAAAAGTGTCTTAAACTGATTCCAAACAGGTTCCAAACATTGTAAGACACTTTTACAGGAGCGAAAAAGAGGCATCGCTGTGTGAAAATTCCCCATAGGAAACATCGTTGTGTGAGGCGGCAAATTTAACAGAAAAAGGCATCGTTGTGTGAATTCATCGTTGTGTGAGGCACCCGTTGTGCGAGGCACCACTAGTCTCTTGAGACTGAAGGATGCCTAATCCTAAAAAAATTCAGATACAGCCAGTGGTAGGAAAATTGCCGTACAATGTAATGAATAGTCTGCCACCTTGGGCATCTCCATATTGGCTACACTAGAGCATCTACATTGTTGAGTGCAGAATTTTTTCCATAAGCTGCACTTAGTCACTGCAAAAATGCATTTAGAGTTAGTATAGCTACATTTCTTAACTTCTGTGTAGCCTCAGCTAGCCTAAGGATCATTGTGCCTCCCCTTCTGTTAGTTTGGAACTTGTTAGTGTTTCACTTTTCTTTAATCCTATCTGATTATCTAGCCTAAACCAACCCCTAGATAGTTAATAAATGAAAGTTTAGGGTTGATTAGAAACTAATCAGAGTTATCTAAATTCATTATTTTTGGTTCTTGCCTAAGAGAAGCCACATATAGAGGGAGGTGCAACTAAATTCTGCAAAGGAAGGAAGTACATGAAGGCAAGACTTGAGTTAGACTCATTGCAGCTTTGGCACATAGTGCTAAAGCAGGGTTTGGTATTATGCATGGTACATTTTGTACTCCTGGCAATTTTTTATTTATGTAATGTGAATCTTCCTTGGTGCTCTTTTCTTTGAAACTAGTTTTTACAAATTTAATACTGTGGCTTGCTTCTCGTAGTTTATACCAGTCTCTTCATGGAAGTTCTGGAGAAGCAACAGATGCTTATGAAGCCGCTCTGGGAGCAGTTATGCAAGAGGAAATAGTTCAGCAAATTTGGATGGAGTAAGTTTAAATGACAATATATTGTTTCACTAGAGTAAATGTCCTTTTTAAGGAGAAAGGTGGGGTAAAAATGTTTTTAATACAATGATGGTAATGCATTCAGAATTGTTAACATCTAGCTTACACTTCTGTTTTACAGATACCTTGTTTTCATGAATGGCAAAGTTGCCAGATCCAACAATCAAGTTCAAGAATTCAAGCTTTTTACAGATCTTGTCAACAGATGTCTTGTTACGGTCCCCACCCGATACCCTATTCCATTCAGCACTGCTGATTACTGGACCAACTATGAATTCCATAACAAGGTATTTTCAAATTTGCAACTAGGATAGACATGTATTTGCACCAACAAATTATGTACAAAGTTAGGGACAAGCATCAAGATCTTCATATCTCTTCAGGTAAGATACTATGAGGAACGGTTTTGGGGAGAGGAGTATAATAAAAGACTGAAGCCATAAGGTCCTTGTGTTCAGAATCTTAAGATAGATTGGATAGAAAGGTACAGACCCAAATAGATTAGGCTGTAGTAGCTGTCATTCATGTTGTACTTTGGACTGATGGGACAAATAAAGCATGCAGTGGATATTTCCCCATTTTGGAAAATATAGAATTCAGTCAGATTTGTCTCTAATCTTTTGCAGTATTCACAAAGTATTTTGTAAGAGAATGAAACTAAAAACAGACATACTAGTTTTCATACTAACAATGCCTGATACTCTGTTTAAGTGGTGCATGAGATTTCAAAAATGTCATTGGAAGAGCTGTCCAGATGAGTGAGTCCCTTTGCAGTGCTCTTTGCTATATGACTGCATTTGAAATAATATATATTGCTGTCTGAGCTATTACTGCAACATGCAATTAATTGGAATTACCTAACTGCTTGAAAAATTGATACTTCACAGGTAATTTCCTTTTACTTGAGTTGTATTCCGAAGTCTCTGCATTCCAAAGCCTTGGAACGATTTTGCTCTACCATGCCCTCTAATCCTGGACTTGCATTCAGGTAAGAGAATACTAGTTGGAAGCATATCAGAGTGTCTCTCTCCACCCCCCCTTTTTTTTTTACTTGCATTTTTCATTCATTGTTTCACTTTGTGTTTTTTTCTTGGCATTCTCTAAATGGTAGATAAGAGATTTTAAAAAATATAATGTTGAAGTAAATAGTTCAAAGCAAAGTGAGCAGATGTGTACCGTATTTTTTGCTCCATAAGACACACCTCTCCATAAGATGCACCAAATTTTTAGGAGAAGAAAACAGGAAAATAAAAATCTGTTTTCTTCTCCTAAAAATTTGGTAAGCCTTATGGAGAGGTCCGTCTCATGGAACACACCCTAGGACCCTTTGGAGGCTCACCCTGCCCCCTCGGGGGCCAGAAAGCGCCACCTTCAGGGACTCTTCTGAAGCTTCCCAAGTCTCAAAAGAGTCCCAGAAGGTGGCGATTTTGCCCCCTCTGGTCCAGCAGGAGGGGCAGGGTGAGCCTCCAAAGGGTCCGAGGGTCTGTTCCAGGACCCTTGCGAGGCTCCCCCCCACCCCCACGGGGCCAGCAGGGGGGCAAAATCGCCAGCTTCTAGGACCTTTTCTGAGGCTTGAAAGGCTCAGAAAAGGTCCTAGAAGCTGCCAGTTTCACCCCCGCTGGCCCCATGGGGGTGGGGGGAGCATCACAAGGGTCCTGGAAGGCTCCCTCGGACCCTTGCGAGGCTCCCCTCACGGGGCCAGTGGGGGCGAAATCGCCAGCTTCTCTCCATAAGAAGCACGGACTTCCCCCCCCCCACTTTTTTGGGGGAAACAGTGCGTCTTATGGAGCAAAAAATACGGTAATTAGTATTTTTTTTTCAGTTTGCTGGAATGCATAGAAATAGAATTCTTATCAGTATTTACAGAGCCATTGTAGAGGAAATTTAATGGGATGCAAATAAAAAGGGTGTGTTTTGCCTTCAAAAGATAACACATATCATAATAAAATATATATTGTAGCTCTGTGGACCTCCCCTTAGATGTTTTTTGTTCCTTCTTTATCTGAGCCTGGGCATGTAATCTTAGGAGTTCTGTTGGATGCAGTAGGACTTTCTCTAGGGTAGCATGTACAGGCTTCGATGGCTTGTTATAAAGGCAAACGTTTATCTCTGTTGCTGTTCCATTTGCCTGACCAGAATTTTTTTACTTAGCAGCAGTTATAAGAAAATACAACACTAAACCAAGCAAAATGGCATCATTGTTCTTTCTTCTTCCTGCATGGCTTAGAACAGACCTGGGCAAAGTGCGGCCCAATGGCCACATACGGCCTGCGAGCCACTCCTTTCTGGCCCACAAACAGTTTTGAACATCAAAACTATTTATAGCTTTTTGTCTAAAGTTGATCAGTTGCTTATCTTTAGCATACTGCAAAAAACCTTTTTAGTATTTGTGAAGATTAACAAGTTTAAAATAAAAACAGTCATAACATCACTGTTTCATTTTATTTTTAGGTAAAGTTGGTTTGGTCCCCGAACACAGTTCAGATTTTTCATGGGGCCCCCTATAGAAATTAATTGCCCACCCCTGGCTTAGAAGATGTCCTCAGACATCTTTTTCACTTTTAAAGCATTTTATTTAAACCGGAATGAATGTCAGTCAGTTGCAAAAACAAGCCAATTTCAAACTTTCAGTTCAGAGTCTGGTCATTAAACTAATTAAAGTCATCTTCCCTGCTCTGAGGGAGAAGGAGGAGTACACAAGCTAGGTGCTTTTACTCAGACTTCTGCAGATTCATTGTGTTAGCAGTAGGCACAGTTTAGCGTAAAGGAGCTTGTTCAGTAGGATAATCACCTGCTACCCCAAAGTGCAAGTCAGCAGCATTCTAGTCTCTTCATGAGGAATATTAGTGTTGCTGTTATTTGCTAGCGATGAAGTCCTCTGATGTATCTGCAGCTATTTATCTATTTTTATAATGGGGAGTGAATTCAGCACTAAATAAGTAATTGGATTTTGGAATATTGACAATTTAGTTAGTCTTGAAAGAAATAATGACAATTTTAAGTCATAAGGTTAAAAAGCAGGGTCCTGTGTCACTTGATTGACTTAGTTTTGCCTTATTGATTTCGAAAAGCATACCATAACTTTATTACATCCATTGGGTAAATGCTTTTGATAGGTACATTTCTTTTGATTGGGTTTTCATGGCAACTTTTCCAATGGAAAAAGGAAATCTTTTGTAATATGTATTCAGGAAGTGTTCTATCATAATGTGTTTATGAGAATGCTGCGTATATAGAGAAATGTCATGTATAATTGAGTGGTTACAGTTTTAGAAGAGGTAGCTGTGTTAGTCTGTGCAAACATATCAGGCAAAACCCAAAGAGACCAAAAAAAAGGACAAAAACTTATGGCACCTTAAAGACTGTTATATTTTAATGTGAGCTTTTGTGGATTACGTCCACTTCTTCAGACAAATGAGAAAAAATGAAATGCAGAAATCACAAGTAGTCCACAGCCAGGTGCATAACTGTGAGCTATCTGTGGAGCCAGAGATTGGGCGTTTAATCCCCCACTGTGCCTCCTGGGAGAAGAGCCAGCCTGTGTAGCCTTGGACATGCTGGGGAGTCGCAGACAGAAGAAGAGAACAGGAAACAACTTCTGAATACTGTTTTTCAAGAAAAACCTGGAAAGGGTCACCAGTGACTTGATGGCACGATTGTTATTTATCCCAATACATATATGCAACCCCCTTTTGTTTTCCTGCTGGAACTTTTAGAATTGTTTTGTAGTCAATAACACTTTTATTCAAGAGTTAACAGCAAGTTTCTCTGTCTTAATTTGCATTGTAGGCTGCTTCAACAATATTGGGAAGAGAGCAATGTTCAGATTCTGAAACTGCAAGCCAAGATGTTTACACATAATATCCCAACATGCCTGGCCATCTGGAAAATGTAATTCAACAGTCATACACCTGTTATCATAGATGATAATTTTTAAAAAGAATAAGGTCTGCTTTATAAAAATAAATCTAAAATAGCCTTTAAATTGGTTTTATGCTAGACAGGTTTTCAATTATTGCAGTCTTTCAACTTTGATTTAGAAATATACCTGGCACTAATGTCGTAAAATGAGGACTGTTGCTTCACCATTCCAAATATTTCAGAAGTAAGTATGCCTTGTGTGTATAAGTAAGGAAAATGTTGTGATGAATTTTCTTGTTGCTACATTGGAGTGTTTTGTTATTTGAATTGACTTCTGTTTCCTCCTCCTTTTTACCCTCCCCCTTTATATATCAGAATAGCAATATCCAGTGATGATGAACTGATCATTGTCTGCAGTATTTGTACATAAAGGGAACAACTGAAATGTCTTGCTCATGTAAGATTGTTTATGAAATGGATTTTTTTCTTTGTCTCTTCACTATAGAGTACCATCATTGGGAGTTAGTCTGTTACTTTCCAGGACTTTTATAGTTCCATCTCATACTCAATGTTCTTCCCGTAAATATACTGAATTGTTCTGTAAAAATAAGTCATTTTTATTTCTTCTCTTCAGAGCCATTGCTGCCGAGTGCTTTCTAAAGGGACAGAGAGAGGTAGGTAAGGAAATGGCTAATTGGCAAGATTTTTAATTTGCCATGTTCATAAGTTATATAAAGTTGGGAAGCTTGCAGATATTCTTGCAGTGCAACTCCCTGTGTTCTAGCCAGCCTAGTCAGTAGTAAGGGATCGTAGGCGTTGCAGTACAGCAACATCTGGATAGTCACATGTTGACCTATCTGTGGTCCATGTGATATTTTTGTTTTCTTTAAAAGGAAACACTGTTGAGAATACAGTGGTACCTCGACTTACAAAGTTAATCCGTTTTGGAACAACGTTTGTACATTGAAAAGTTTGTAAGTCGAAGTGCCATTTCCCATTGAAATGCATGGGAATGGAATTAATCTGTTCCAGCATTTCAAAAGGCAGGGTCCCCCAGGGAGCTCTCCCAAGGCTTGCCCGCCACCATGGGAGACCTCCCTGGGGGTCCCTGCCACCATGATTGGCGCCTTCAGAGCTCTCAAAGGGCTTTCTACCCGATGTCGGGCGGAAAGCCCTTTGAGAGCTCCGAAGGCAAAAAGGCAGAGAGAAAGGGGTGGAAATTCGAATTTCCCACCCTTTGTCCTTGCCTTTTTGCATTTGGAGCGCTCAAAGGGCTTTCTGGACGACATTGGAGGAAGCCCTTTGAGAGCTCCGAAGGCAAAAAGGGAGGAAGAAAGGGCTGGAAATTCGAATTTCCCGCCCTTTCTCCCTGCCTTTTTGGCTTTGGAGGTCTCAAAGGGCTTTTCTCCTGACATCAGAGAAAGCCCTTTGAGACCTCCGAAGCTAAAAAGGCAGGGAGAAAGGTGGGAAATTTGAATTTCCAGCCCTTTCTCCCTGCCTTTTGCAGGGAACCATTTACGAATGGCTCCGTTGGCTGTAGCTCTTTCTTCTTAGGTGCACAGTTCTTTCATGGGATTGATGGGCAATTGTATTTAGCTGTGGTACCAGATAAATGTTGCCCCAGTGAAGCTTCAGAACCTTTCTGTCCTAAGCTAACACAAAGCCTGTTTGAAAATTTATTTTCCCTTACTCTTTCTTTTACTCTTACTTTTAGTGGGTGGGGAGTGTCTGGTCTCTGGGTGTCTGTNGCATATATCATTTACAATGGAATTCTATCTATCCATGTATGTTTGAAAATAGGTCTGTTTTAATTCAGTTTGCTATTTCCACACAAATTGGAAAAGGAATGCAATATAAATGCACAGATGATAATTTTTATTTTTAAAAAAACAGGTTGAAATTTTATGGAGAAAACCTTTAGAAATGCTTGAAAAAGTTGATTAGCATGACATTTTATGGATTGCTAAAATGTGTATATATGGGGTTAATGATGTAATACAATAATATAATCAGTGTCATACATGGATAATTTAGGGCCAGTAATACATGTTTGAGTATTCAAGACATCAGATTTCTCTGTTAATGTTAATTTTAAAAGATGCACACTTTCTGAAGAATGAACGTTTCTTAAACTGAGAGTAGTTCCGTAATTGTTGCATACTACAGCTTGCCTACACTTAATCAATATTTGAGGTGGATACAATGGAGAAAGTGTGTGTTAATGCTGTAAAATTTCATGTTGAATTGGTTCTTGTCTCTCCTTTACAGGTCCATCACTTATATCAGAGAGCCTTTCAGAAGTTACCTCTTTGTGCAACCCTGTGGAAAGATGTAATGTTTTCTCCTTATGTTTCAGTTTAAGGTTTCATTTCAATTTTCTATATATCCCATGTCCATTGATGTGGTGATATTCAGGCTCTGGCTAAATCTTATGTCTGCTTCCCCATCTCTTACAGCAGCTCCTGTTTGAAGCCTCAGGAGGAGGTAAAACTGATAACCTGAGAAAACTAGTTTCCAAGTGCCAAGAGGTTGGAGTCAGCCTAGATGAGCTTTTAAATTTAAGCACTTACAGAACAGAAAGCACGAATCATTGAACACTGGGTGCAGTCAGTGCTAAATCCTATTAAATGCCAAAATCATTTGAATGATTCTCCAGGCTGATCTCTGGCTTTAGGCCTGCACAAAGCAGATGAGCAGTGCTGAGCCTGTCAGGTCTCTCTGATCTGCTTTCCTTGAACCTGGAAACAATTAACATGGTCGCCTCCTTGGATAAATGAATTCCCTGTATGGCCTGCTTCTGGGCCCTGCCAGACTCTCATAACATCATGTACGTAAGTATAGTTCATCCCAATGACAAGACTTAAAATGTGTTAATTCTTTTTATGTTTATTTTCCATGTTTCATTTTTTTCTTTTTCTTTTGGGCTATTCCTGATTTCACATGACGCTTGCACTGATGCCTGAGAGATCTGTGTTTGGGATTAAGAGGGGGTCTGTGTTTACATTAAAAACAAGCAGTCCGCCTCCCTCCCACCCTCCCACATCGTTTTCTTTTTGTTTTGGAAATTTGTTTTTATTGCAGGATATAAAACAAAAGCAGCTGCTCTTAAAAAAAGTAACTGCCATGGCCACAAGTATGCTTTTTGCACTTGAAGGCTCTGAGGTGCTTTCATGCCCTTTCTGCATTCTGGACTTGTGGCAGAGACTTGAAGATTAAAGTTACTCTTGCAAATGTCAGTGCATCAGAACCTAAAGAGTGGTCAATTTATTATGTGCAATTTTTTGTAAAGAAATTTTAATTTATAATAAAAGTTTAACAGTTAATAATATTGAACTGATTTGTATTAAAATACTACTCTGTAGTATTGCAATTGTTTATATAAAGATATTTTAAATACAATTTCTCAAAGATTTGCTGTCTTCATTGTCTTTAATATGGTTTGAATTTGGTTTTGGTTTTGTCCTCTGCTTTTTTATATAAAAAACAAAAAGCAGAGAGTGCTGCTTATTTATTATCACCCCATAGTACTTAAAGCACACTCTGAGCAGTTTACATTTTGATTAAGCAGGCTACACCCCCCCCCCCAAGCTGGGTATTCAATTTACCAATCTTGGAAGACTGGAAAGCTGAGTCAACCTTGAGCCAGCTATCTGAACCCACGATCAAACTCGGGTCATAGAGTCTTCACTGCAGTACTGCAGTTTAACTACTGCACCACAAGGCTGTTTCATAGCACTCCTTGTTTTCAGTGAGACAATATTAATATTTAAAAAGCACACATATATTCATCTATTACTCCAGGCTACTGGGTACTATCCCAGGGGTTTTGTTTTGTTTTTGCATTGGTGGGAGCTTTAACTTTAAAAATAGAATTGGAGAAGGGCTTTTAGATCTAAATTGTAACAGTTATATCCTGGAACCCAACAATGGGATGACAGGAGAGGCAAAATGAATCTTAAGCCTTAGTTATCTGTTGGGGAAATGGTATCTCCCCTGCCAGTGAGCTATCCATCATCATCAGTTTAATCACAAATTAAGCAGTTCTTCAAGTACATTCCAATTTTAGCTTTTCTGTTTGTTTAGGGAATTTTTATTCCCACACAAAGATAGAAAAGTGGGACTAAGTAACTTGCTTAAGGTCACATGTACTCAATGTGTGGTTAAAAATCCGTATTCACAGGAAGAGACCAGCAAATAACATGGAAGAAGAGAAATGGATTCAGGGGATCTTCATGTTGTGCCCAACTAGATTTTCAGTGATAACTAGGAAACACCACTTACGAACATGGTGTGTACCAGCTACAGACATCTGCATTTATTTCTCAGTTCAAAAAGTATAAATGCACAGTACAGTTCTCCATGTATTCTCAAAACACAGTTAATCAGTGTCACTGCGATTTAAGTGTGTCACTGGGATTTAAGCGTGTGTCTAGCATTGCAGCGAATCTTGCAGAATTTTTGAAGCTGAGAGCTTTTCCCCATTAATATTTCCTTCATGGGTGATACTGTACGTGCTTTGAAACACAGACCTGTTGATTCAGTGGGATTTGTCCAAGTGTTGATCTGTTATGTGCTGTTAGGTTGCTTCCAATTTATGGTGTGACGTATGAATTGGTGATCTCCAAAATGTCCTGTCTAGAGATGGGCATGACTTGCTTCAATCTGGGGTGATGAAATTTGTCAGTGTTGCATCACAGGTGCCACACATTCCCTCTCCCCACCTCCTGGCTGGCTGCCCTACTCTGAAGCCTCTGCGTAGCACCCAGGTCGTCCTTCGCCAACTGCCCAGTCCAGGAGGGAGCATGGGCTTCCCTTCCCCCTACTGTCTCCGGCAGAATCTCACTCAGACAAGGAGGTGGAATGAGATTCTCCCTGTGCAGCTGGCGAGTGATCAGGTGCTGGAGGAGATGAGAAAGGAAAGTCCAGATACCTTCCTGGACTGGGCAGCCATCAAAGGAGAACAATCCAGATGGTGCGAGGCTGGTTGTGAGTAGAGCAGCTGGCCAGATACCAATGAATTTCATAACCTAACGTTGATTTAAGTTGTGTCCATCTCTAGTCCTGTCCTTGACAGCCCTACTCGGCTTCTGCAGACTCAAGCCTGTGGTTTTCTTAGGGAATCAATTCAACTTAGTTCAGTTTGCAAAGGGGAAAAATACCTAATTTCCCCATTGAAAGTAAATATATCATACCCCTCTCAGACATTTTTTAAAGTATTAAAAGCATTTTGCATAGTGGTGTGCTAAAATGCCTGGCATTTTTCTGGAAGACTACTGAAAAGTGAGAGGATGCAAGATTGAAACTAGATGCTCAGACTCCAAGGCACACTGGCTGCTATAGTGTTTTTCTAGAACTCTCTGAAGGAGGAATCGGCCTCACAGCAGGGAACAGCTGTATTACATTGTCCCACAGACTATTTCCATCTATGAAAACCTCTGATATGATTACAGAAATCTGCCACCTAATGACTCAGTGGAGGACTACAGGTGTCATACACAGGCATATTTAAAGGATTTTTTAAAATTACCTCACCTTAAAACCAACTCAACTCACGTCATTAAAAGGTAATATTTAAAACTAAAAACAGTAAATATACAAACACTAAAATAATCAAACCAATACCACAGTAAAAGATGGTAAACAAAAGTAATATCAAAAACATTCAAAGCAGTAAGAGACTACCATATGTTTAAAACCCCACTCAGGCATCACGTCATTAAGAGAAAGCTTGCTCGAAGAGAGATTTTTGCCAGCTTGTGGAAGGACAGCAAAGATGGGGCCAACGTGGCTTTCTGTGGGAGGAATTTCTAAAATCTGCAGCAACAGAGAAGGGCTTCCCGTGTCCCCACCAAATGCACATGTGACGGTGGTGGGACCAAAGAAAGACCTTTCCTGGTGATAATAGGGATATGAAGCTGTAGTCTAGAAGAATGCAGTCAGGAATGTATGAGTATAATAGCCCTTCAAAAAGAACCCTGCTCTCAGAGAGGCAACCCAGATGGGTACCGTGCCATTCATTTAACACTAACCTCATGAGGTGATTCTGAGAACAATGGTTTGTCATTAAAAGTGCGTAAATCTTCCATCACATCACTGTGTCAGATGGACAAAACTAAAGAAAGGTTGGAAGATCTAAACTCCGTTTCCACGTGAGGATTGTGGTGGAACTATAGATGCCAGTAAGGTCTTGCAGGTCAATTAGAGACCAGGGTAAACGGGGATTTGGAGAAGGAAGATCACACAGGAGTAATTTTCAAACTATTGGAGTGCAAAAGCAGTCAAGAGGGAAGCTGCTCAATGTCAGAAAAGTGGACTAAAGTCTAAAGACCATTTTGGACTCATCAGACTGCATTCTGACTGCCGATGAATGCAGCCAGCAAGTCAACATCCCGCTTCGCATGAATGTGCCAGGTAATTAATTGTGAACTTTGCTGCAAAAAAGGCAATCGTGCCTCTATTCCTTTTCAGCTCCATCTGCTGCAGCAGCCCTACAATTCTCTCAAGAAGAGATAACGGAAGATAGGAGGTGATGCCTAAGTTCAAGGTGAGGTATAATAGGGACATGAAGCTCAAATCTAAAAGAACTAAACCAGGAGTGTATCGTGAAGAAGACCATGTGGTCCACACAGTCAAAGGCTTTTGCATAGTCAATGAAAGAGAAGTAGATGTTTTTCTGGAATTCTCTTGCTTTCTCCATAATCCAGCGCATGTTAGCAATTTGGTCTCTAGTTCCTCTGCCCCTTCAAAATCCAGTTTGTACTTCTGGGAGTTCTTGGTCCACATACTGCTGAAGCCTATCTTGGAGGATTTTGAGCATAACCTTGCTAGCGTGTGAAATGAGTGCAATTGTACAGTAGTTGGAGCATTCTTTGGCACTGCCCTTCTTTGGAATTGGGATGTAGACTGATCTTTTCCAATCCTCTCGTCACTGCTGAGTTTTTCAAACTTCCTGGCATATTGAGTGTAGCACCTTAACAGTGTCATCTTTTAAGATTTTAAATAATTCCACTGGAATCCCATCACCTCCAGTGGCCTTGTTGTTAGCCATGCTTTCTAAGGCCACTTGACTTCACTCTCCAGGATGTATGGCTCAAGGTCAGCAACCACACTATCTGGACTGTCTGGGACATCCAGATCTTTCTGGCATAATTCCTCTGTGTATTCTTGCCACCTTTTCTTGATGTCTTCTGCTTCTGTTAGATCCCTCCCATTTTTGTCCTTTATTTATAATGTCCATCTTTGCACAAAATGTTCCTTTAGCATCTCCAATTTTCTTGAATAGAACTCTGGTTTTACCGTTTCTATTATTTTCCTCTATTTCTTTGCACTGTTCATTTAAGAAGGCCCTCTTGTCTCTCTATTCTTTGGAAGTCTGCATTCAATTTTCTGTAGCTTTCCCTATCTCCCTTGCGTTTTGTCTCCCTTCTCTTCTCTGCTATTTGTAAGGTCTCGTTGGACAGCCACTTTGCTTTCTTGCATTTCCTTTTCTTTGGGATGGTTTTTGTTGCTGCCTTCTGTACAATGTTATGAGCCTCCATCCATAGTTCCTCATGCACTCTGTCCACCAAATCAAGTTCCTTAAATCTGTTCTTTACTTCCACTGTGTATTCATAAGGAACTTGGTTTAGATTAGAACTGATTAGCCCAGTGTTTTTTTCTACCAACTATATAGAGCTGCTCCATCTTTGGCTGCAGAGAATATAATCAATCTGATTTCATTATTGCCCATCTGGTGATGTCCATGTGTAGAGTAGCCTCTTGTGTTATTGGAAAAGAGTGTTTGTGATCACCAGCTTGTTCTCTTGACAAAACTCTTATTAGCCTTTGCCCTGCTTCATTCTGAACTCCAAGGCCAAACTTACCTGCTGTTCCTTTTATCTCTTGAGTCCCTACTTGAGCATTCCAGTCCCCTAGAATGAGATGAACATCTTTCTTTGGTGTCGGTTCTAGAAGATATAATTCTTCATAGAATTGGTCAATTTCAGCTCTTCAGCATCGGGGGTTGGTGCATAAACTTGGATGACTGTAATGTTGAAACATCTGCCTTGGATTCGTATTGAAATCATTCTATCATTCTCTTTGTGGCTCATGGAACTGGTATAGAGATCTGTGAGCATGTACCTCTTTATACCTTAACTTCTCAGTGAATGAGGCTGTGGTTAAAGGGTAGCATGCGTGGCCTGTTGAGGTTGCAGGTGAATCCTTAGTACAGTGGTTCACAACTTTGGGTAACCTAGATGTTCTTGGACTGCAAGTCCCAGAAGCCTTCACCACCAGCTGTGCTGGCCAGGGCTTCTGGGAGTTGCAGTTCAAAAACACCTGGCTGGGCTACTCAAGGTTGGGAACCACTTCCTTAGTACTTCAAGGTGGGGTTTGCTCATCTGAGATTCTTGCAGTTG